TCCGCCAGGGTTGGAAACTTTGACCTGGGTGATGTCATTCTACAACTAGTAACTCACGAGACTTTCACGTTAGAAGCCGCCTTGAATGAGCTCGTAACAACCGCTAGTAGTCGCAGCACAATTTTAACAACGAGATATTCTTACAATCATAGAGCTTAGTGAGAGACACGTGGGTCGTGTTTTTTCACACGATCATGTGCAATCTGAAACATCATTGTGAAATCGCCCAAAATATACACTATTGTGCATGTCGCAACCACTATTAGAAACCTGAAAATGTACAAGAAAAAACGGCCGTTTCCGGGCTCCTGCGGTATGGGATCTCATGTCAGACAAAAACGTAACAATTCCGTTTTGTGATCACATTATGTATAGATACCTAAAAAGACCGCGAGTGAGCCAAGTTGATTGGACAGAACTGAAGTAGAATCGAATAGCATAGAATAATAGGTGGTGAAATAGTTTGTTGAGGGCTCTGACCAAGACACAAAAACAACAAGTGACAAATCATGTAAGTGAGAGTAAAGAGAGTAGAAATATGCTTGATAGAGACAATCATACCGATAATGTAGTTGATATTGGAACACAGAAAAAACAATATCGAGCATACGTGATAGTTTGAGCTCTTCGGTCTGTACTAACGACGGAAAAATATAACGTAATAGGTTACAAAGGACTATCAGCGAGATCGCTATTGTTAAGTGAGTAATTGTGCGTGTACAGTTTTCACATACGGATGTAGCAATGGTGGTGTAAATAGAAGATATCGACAGTTGTTTATGGATCATGGATAGAGTATAAAATGTGTTTTAATCGTGGTGTAAATCGAGGGCACAATATCCGTGTCTATGAACCAATCCAGTGTAATTGTAAACACGGTTTATTTTTTAGAATCTATATTGTATAAAATGTACTAATGTAATAGTACTGTGTCCTAAATTACAATTCGTCAAAGAAGTAAATTAAAGAAATGTTGAATTTTCTTTTCATATAAAAAGATTATACGTTTTAGTTTTACTGGTAAAACAATCATGGTTAGAAAACTTGAAATTTTGAAATAAGTAGCTTTATTTTTAATTGTAGGAACTAATCAGTTTGATTTTTACAAGATGAAGATGAGCGAATCTCAGTAAAACAAAATAAACATGATGTGAATGTTACTATTACTCACACTACTACTACTACCACTCATACTACTACTACTACTACTCACACTACTACTACTACTACTACTACTACTACTCACACTACTACTACTACCACTACTACTCACACTACTACTACTACTACTACTACTACTACTCACACTACTACTACTACCACTCATACTACTACTACTACTACTACTACTACTACTACTACTCACACTACTACTACTACCACTCATACTACTACTACTACTACTCACACTACTACTACTACTACTACTACTACTACTCACACTACTACTACTACCACTACTACTACTACTCACACTACTACTACTACTCACACTACTACTACTGCTAGTACTACTCACACTATTACTACTACAACTACTACTACTGTGGTGTGAGCTACTTCAGTAACATAAGTCTGACGAATATCTAATCAGTAACCCGTAAGTCAACAATAATAACAGAGGCTTTATTGACTATTATATGTTTATCACAACAGCATGGCATATTTCAACAAGTTTCTTTTACAAAACAATTAATGATCAGCAATTACAAGTAAGCAATTCAACAATCGACACCTTATCGACGTTAATTCTTTTCTTATCTGATCGATAGTCATCGAAATATTTCGGATTATAATTTTTCGTGCCTTGTGAAGTCATAAGTTAAAAAATATTTATGTACACGTCTGAGCAGATTATGCGTTTAACAGATATAATTGACGTGTCAAAGCATACAACACAAGATAACCAGTTGAAATCTTTTGATGTTAGAAAACACAGGTCGTCGAAATATTCAAACAAGTCGCCAGTATGTGTTACATAACAAATATATTTATCTTTAAAAAAATGTAAATAATTACGGTTGGTGATAGTTTTCAATATAATGAAAATATAATAGATTAGATCTCTTATAAGATTTATAGTCAGTGAAATTTCAAAAGTTCACAAAAAAGAGAATAAAACATCTATCAGTTCTTAGCCAATTCCTTGATAAAATCATTGAAAAAAAAAATTAAAAATTAATCACAAATTTATGCAGGATAATGTTCAGTTATTTGTTTACCCAGTGGACGCTTGGTACAGTCGATCTGTCAGGATATTCACCCAATATTTTTCTAAGTCTAATTCCATTGGTCAATTACTGTTGGTTAATTTCTATTGGTCAATATTATGGTCGTCCTAGATATCAATGTCACGTACTTCAATATTGTTTCTTATCGGTCGTCCTGACTATCAATGTCACTTCAAATATTGTTTCCTATTGGTCTCCCTAACTGACAATGCCGAAGACTTCAAATTTGTTTCCTATCCAGCCTAGCTGTATAAATATGCATTATCTGTAACATTTTATGTCCCGGATCCCTAGTCCGGGATCCTGATTCTCTTCTGGACTCGGACCTCGTATTTTCTGGATGCTTGTAGAATACAGGTTCTACTTCATATCAAGTCTTCTTATTTTCACTAAATATGGGGGTTGGGATAATCGGATTTGAGTAGCATGTCATGTCGCCAGATCCTCGATCCTCACTCTCGTTTACTGACTAAGGTAAACTCGTAATAGTTCAAGCATATCGAATTGACGTGTTTACATGCATGCGTAACACGATGTAACTTGCTTCACATGATCAAGTAAATTGATAAATACACATCGAGGTGACACAAAGTGGCAATCTATCCTTGACATTCATCTGAGTCAGGTTCGTACTGGAGAAAACAGTTCGTAGCTGTGCTGAATAAAGTATCTTCCTCAGCACTCTGGATGATTCATTCTTTATTATTTAGTCTGTCGTATCTCTCTCGAATCCAATGATCAAGAATGACGCTTTCTTTGAAACACTGGGAATACTTTAAACCTAACGTTTGGATCTCAGATTACTGTCAACGAACCCGGATGGGAAACTATTCTTCAGAAAAGTTTGTCGTATTACATTCTGCTCATCAACATTCCAAGTATTCTCGTCTTGCTTCCTTACTGATTGGCACCCAACTTCGAAAGTCCGTATATGTTGACTGTTCCTGCTTGGCTTTCTGTACATCGACCATTGAAGAAATGTATAGATAGATAATACTTTCATCATTAGTGACAAAGACTGTTACAAAATACATTTAAGGTCTAGAACTTTTAATAAATTATGATGAATTTTATGATGAAAATTACAGAGTTACTCAGTAAAATTGAAAAACCATATCGTAAATCGTTCATTTGCAAATTATCAGTCCATCATATCGAACTGGACTGTTCCTGTTGCAAAGCATCAATCCATTGTCACTCACTATTCATGCGTTTCATACAAATTTCCATTGTTTTCTAACTCTTCCTTTCTTGATCTTCCCCCATCTTCTGCTGCCAGACATTACGTTGACACTCACGTCATATACTACTTATAAGTAGCGCACACCACACAATTACTAATGATAAGTGAATGATTTTCAAAATTCCCTCCACTGAAATTTCTATCAAAAACTCTCAATGACTTGTTGAAAGCATTAACTCCTATTGAGAAGACTGAGGCAGGCGCTGAGGATTGTATTGTACACTCTTAGTCAATTAAAAACGACAACATTACATTGAACACACTATTTGCACACCATCTTTGAGTCGTGACTTCCAACGCTCCATCCTTCTTCCATTCCTACTGCTGCTTCCTTTCCTTCCTGTTGGTACTTAACTTACTGTTTGCTTTTGCTCCATTTGCTTTCCGTTTTCCGCTTCTGATCGTGAGACTTCTTCTTACACGTCCCTTCTTATACTACTTATATCGTTCGTATAAGTAGCACACATCACACTACAATTTGAAAAAAACATTTAAACACTGAACATAAAATCAACTGACGTCATTCAGCGAATTTTGTTTTTTTTCTTCACTATTTATTTGTTTGTTTGTTTATTTGTCAGTGAACACAATCAAAAATATGTTTGTTTTTATTTGAAAAACAAAGTAGTCTCAACCAAATGAAATTTAATCGATTTAAATAGAAATTAATTGTTCTGGTTCACCGCAATAAAATTCATTTTCAGAAAATTTTCACTAATTCTCAATATAACCTTTTTTTAAATATCACTTAACTGATTTTTAAAAATAATATTTATTTAATTCAATTTAATTTAACAATAATAATAATAACGAAATAAATTCTTTGAATAAATAAAACATTGTATGTTTACTACAGTTCAATTCAACATGTTATTTTCCTACGTGATTATTATTATTATGATTGTTAGCGGGACATAGATGGAATAAAGCATGAGTGAGTTAGCTGCGCGCTGATTGGTTAATTCTTATTCCATCAACGCCTAATCGATACTGGTGTTGTTAGCTGCACGCTGATTGGCTAAATTTAATCCGATCACAGCGCAAATCGATCACGTGGATTAGATTCCAGAAGCTTCTGATGTAAAAACTATGAAGATACTAATGTTGTTTCTATTTCGTCTTCGCCTTCTCTTCAGCTTCTTACTTACATTTAACCTTGCTACTATTTGGAATATAATCAATTTCCTGTTCAGCTGTGTTTTGATTTGGGGACTTGTCGAGTGTAGTGTTGTCAGAGAATACTAAGCAATAGGAATAGCTGGGTTCTACTCAGTGAGATTTATAACAATCATTATTATTGTTATTATTATTATGATTATTAGTTGTAGTAGTAGTGTGGTGCGCGCTACTGATAAGTAGTATATGACGCGTGTGTAAACGTAATGTCTGGCAACAGAAGATGGGGGAAGATCAAGAAAGGATGAGTGGGAACACAATGGAATTTGTATGAAACGCATGAATAGTGAAATGTCAGACAATGGATTGAAGATTTGCAAATTAACCGTTTACGATATGGTTTTCCTATTTTACTGAGTAACTCTGTAATTTGCGATAAATACAATTCGGTTGCCCTCACCGGTGTTCTCCTTCACTACAGTAGGACTAGTAGTAGTAGTAGTAGTAGTAGTAGTAGTAGTAGTAGTAGTAGTAGTAGTAGTAGTAGTAGTAGTAGTAGTAGTGGTAGTAGTGGTAGTAGTAGTAGTAGTAGTAGTAGTAGTAGTAGTAGTAGTAGTAGTAGTAGTAGTAGTGGTAGTAGTAGTAGTAGTAGTAGTAGTAGTAGTAATTCTGAATAGGTGAGCCAAATGATTAGTTGTTTATATTGTCTGGTTATTTGAAAAAGTTTGTTCAATTTTCAATGAAACCAATAAAACAATGTTGATATTTTTCTGCACAAAATTTAAATGAACATGATCTTATTGAAAAGAAATAATTTAAATATACCAATTAACTATGCCCAGTTAGACAGATAGATGCAACGTAGAACTTCCTACGTAAGTACATCAGTTCAGGTTGCCATACCACGTCAGCACGCAGACGTAACATTCAGTTCAAATCCAAGAGTGATAGCAATAATAGAAGTATTAGCAGTAATGGAGAAGATTAGGGAGCGAAGATATAATTCGAAAAGGATAATTCAGTGAGATAAATTTAGAAGGAGAAAGATAGGGATTACGAGGAATTCAGCAGGTTAGAATTAGAGAGAACACAAAGAGTTAAAATAAAAGTTGTTATGATATATATAATCTGTTACGTGGGATGAATGATTAGTATGTTTATTTATGATATCAAGTGATGATGACCCGACCGCAGCTGCTACCTTAACATGTGGTGGTCGGGCTTGCCTATCGTCATGACCCAACCGAGCTAGCTAAAAATGTCACACCTCACCCTACCTCACGGATTTCCGTCTCCTTGGGTTAGGGCTGCCCACTAAGGGCCTTTAAGAACAGAGCTAACACTCAAAAATCCTTTAATAAAAAGGCCGTGCGTGACCGGCCTGAAGCAGTTGTCCCTTAGACTCTGCGGTCACGCTCGCAGGTCATTAAGACCAACACTAATCTACCTTATTTTTCAGGTTCCTCAAGAAACGCCCTTCCACGTTATGGGCAGCCGGAAAGTAACATCCGCCCTCATGCCCATAAAAGCGTACGAGACCAAATTGGTCACATGCTTGATGATGACATATATAAAATGGTTGTGTTTGATAATTAACTGTAGTAAGATTTGATCAACTATCCACTGTATCGCTTGATTGTTTCTGTTATGCTCGTCACTTGCTATACTTGAAACCAATACGAGTTCACCTTAGTCGATAAACGAGAATGAGACAATGAACCAGCGTCCGGGTAGGCTACTCTGATCCGTTGACTCAAAGGAACTAACGAAAAAGTCTTGATATAGCGTAGAAAGTGTATTCTAAAAACACTCAGCGAACTCAATGATACAAGCACACAAATCACGTTTATTTATACATCATAGTAACGTCCACGGGAGAGTCACAAAAATAGCACACTAAAATAACGCAGTAACCAATCACAGCCAAGGATTTTGCTTGCGGGGAAAGTGATCTCAAGGTCAACTGTTGTACCAGCCGCTTAAGTGTATATTCGATCATTTTATTTAGATTTCGCTGTAAACATTAGTTAGTATGTTTCATTCTAACTTTGACAAGAAATAACATCAACAATATTCTTTTAAAATATCGATCAAAAATGCCCTCCCATATCACTACTCTATACATGAAATAATGTTTAAGGATATCGATCAGAAACTAGTAAGATTACATTAAAAAATTACTTGATTTATTACACATTTGAAATCATCAATCGATCATTGTTAGACCACTCCATTAGAAACCTGGAAGCACTGGAAGTTTCGTCCCGGTATGGGACTCATCAGTGGCAGTGCGCATCCACGACTCATGCAGCTCGCAAGATCCGAACTCGGGACCTTCGTTATTGTGCGCGAACGCCTAACTTCTGGATTGATGATTTCAGATGTGTGAAAACCACTAATCTCCGTAACTCTAACTGAAAATATCGACCTTCGGTCCTGTGCGTGAACGCCTAATCATTGATTTATTCCCCGGTATGTATTGCTGGACATGTTTACAATTATGCATTTACTGTGTTCGATTATCGACAAACAAACAAAGTTTACATTACACAATAGAAAAGATTATTGGAAATGATTTTATTGTTTTTTTTAACAAAGAATAACTAACTAACTAACTAACTAACTGATCGATGTCATTTTTCTAAAAACATACAATAACAGAATTAAAATGTACCTGTGTGTTTGTGTGTGTGTGAGTGTGTGTGCACGTATGACTGTACCTCATGTTTTGCCTTGATTGCAATGTTGTACTCAATTGTGAGAAATAAAGTTGATTATCGATTATTTACCTATTGATCCTCTAAAAAAGAAATGGGATATCTACGGTGAGAATCATTCATAACAATAATAATAATAATAAAGGCATTGCATACTGGTTGGTCAAGGTCATTGCCGTTAACAACGTATAGAGTTCTTGTCTAAAATCAGAATAATTTTTTCATTGAATTCTTCTAATTTAATGTTGAATGTAAAATGTAAAAAGTAACAAATAGAACTGGAAAATAATAAACTATTGAAGATTGAACATGACAGAATGTGTGTGTTCAAATTCCAATGTTATCCAGAAATTGTTGATCATTGAATAAATCATTATTAAATTTAGGAAACCATGTCTAATCATACAATAAAAATTAAATTTTTGGATCCCTTTTCTTCCCCATATCAATGATCAATGTTTGTGAAATCAGGTGTGTGGTGTGAGCTACTTTTAAGTAGTATATGACGTGAGTGTCAACGTAATGTCTGGCAGCGGCAGAAGATGGAGGAAGATCAAGAAAGGAAGAGTTAGAAGAACACAATGGAATTTGTATGAAACGCATGAATAGTGAGTGACAATGGATTGATGTTTTGCAACAGGAACAGTCCAGTTCGATATGATGGTGAACTGATATTTTGCAAATTAACCGTTTACGATATGGTTTTCCTATTTTACTGAGTAACTCTGTAATTTTCGTTAAATACAATTCGGTTGCCCTCACCTGTGTTCTCGTTCACTACATATATATCAAACATATTTACTTACTGGAAAAAAGGTTTGATTATTTACACATTCGAAACCATGAATCTATCAACGGTAGACCACTGTTAGAAATCTGGAAGCATGGGGTGACCGTTTCGTCGTAGTATGGGACTCATCAATGGCAGTGCGCATCCACGACTCCTGCACCCTGCAGGATTCGAACCTATGACATTCGGTCTTGTGCGCAAACGCTCAACCTCTAAACCACTGATCCGGTATGTGACAGTGTTCATGCCTAACTTCAATCAATTATTTGTTATGTTCAATTTATGATGTTGATAATTATTGACTTGATACAATTTGATTATGTCATTTTTAGAATTGAATCTTGTGAGAAAATTACGGATTATCATTTCGATAATCATTTAAATTTCATTAGCTTGTACTAATATATGTTTATATATCTAAACCCATATATATAGCGCTAACAGGAAAACCCTATGGAGGCTTCTTCGACACTACGGCGTGCCTTAGAAGATAGTCAACATCATACAGGGTTCTTATGATGGATTCAACTGCAGAATCGTGCATGGAGGACAGCTGATAGACTTGTCCGAGGTGAAGACCGGTATCAGGTAAGGTTGCTTACTCTCGACTGGATTATGAAGACGTCAACATCTGGAGGGAAGTATCGTATCCAATGGACAGCTAGGCTGCAGATGAACGATCTGGACTTCGCAGATGATCAGGCTCTTCTATCGCACACGCAACAATAAATGCAAGAAAATACAAACAGTGTGGTAGCAGCCTCTGCAGCAGTAGGTCTCAACATACATAAATTAAAAAGCAAGATTCTCCGATGCAACACAACATGCACCAAACAAATCACTCTTCATGGGAATGTCTTGGAGGACGTTAACACCTTTACATATCTGGGCAGCATCATCGACAATCAAGGTGGATCCGATGCAGATGTGAGGGCGCGGATTGGCAAAGCAAGGGCTGCATTTCTACAGTTGAAAAATATCTGCAACTCTAAACAACTTTCAACCGAACCCAAAATCAGAATTTGCAATACAAATGTCAACACAGTTCTACTGTATGGAGCGGAAACTTGGAGAACTACCAAAGCAATCATCCAGAAGATACAAGTGTTTATTAACAGTTGTCTACGCAAAATACTTCGGATTCATTGGCCAGACACCAATAGCAACAACGTACTACTGTGGGAGAGGACAAACCAGATTCCAGTGGAGGAGGAAATCAGGAAGAAGCGGTGGAAGTGGATAGGACACACACACTGCGAAAAGCACCAAACTGCGTCACAAGACAAGCTCTCACATGGAACCCTCAAGGTCGAAGGAAAAGAGGAAGGCCAGGGAACACATTACTTTGAGGAACAGAGATAGACATGAGAAAAATGAACAAAAGTTGGACAGAAGTGGAAAGGGAAGCTCAGGACAGAGTTGGTTGGAGAAAACTGTTGGGCGGCCAATGCTCCATCGGGGGTAACAAGCGAAAGCAGGTAAGTACGCATATTTAAAATCAACTGATCAAACACTTCTTTTTACAGCAAATATTGATGAAGATGAGACAAATCTTCATTCACTGAGATAAATGATAATATGGACAGAAACGGGAAATAAAATCATTTTTAGGTAGTTATCATTCGTTTTAGTTAAACGGTTTCTTTCAAGCGTTTGTAATTTCATAAGATTACCATTGAAAGAACATACTAAAAAGCTGTTTAATACTAGTATAGGACTCTTCAACAATGAGTTTATATAACTTTACACCCTGTAACCAAACCCATTTTGAAGACTTTGTTTGTGAAAATCCCTCCATATTGTATACATTTGTAATTTGTCCTTATTGATTCATTCAGTTGTACATTTTGTTAGTCTGTTCGATTCCATTTTGAGATGATAATATTTGTATTTTATTATAGTTTCTATTTCTTTTGCCTTCACTCAGTTTCTGTGTTTCTCTCTAAACTTCATTTATGTTGCTTAAGCTGATACTCATTCATAGCGACAACCATATTGATTTGTTCCTCGCTTGTTTGTGTCGGTTGCACTGACTGGAATTGTGCATTTTGATTGTGAATTGAAGCACTCTTCCAGAATTGGAAACACTCTGTGTAACAAAGCAACCAAATATTATCTGTCGAACGAATCTGATCTATCCAGGAGGGATAGAATATCATATA